TATTGTGAACATCATAAATCACAAATTACAACTAATCTATTCATTACTTTCAAAAACTCCACATCCAATTTGCAATGATACGTATACAAATTATATTAAAAAAAAATTAAATAGAATTTGTTATTCAAAGTAAATTTTACAATTTCTCATAGATTCTATGAAACATTTTTTTTTAATTTGGCAAGACCTGAAAATTATGATTTAATGATTACAAAACGACGATTAAAATTTATTTATTCACCCCCTCTAGAATGTTAATGACATCATTCCCAAAAACTATTACATTATTATTTAATTTTAATTGAAATTCGTTGTACTTTAGTAATATCTTTTTATTTTTAGGAATTATTAATGAATTAAATTACGTTTACTCATTTAGGTACTCAAAAATGGTTCATCAATTTTCAAAAATTCTGAAAACAATATTATTGCGGAATCGATATACACCGGGTGTCTGGAAAATGGCGGATTAACTCTTCAGTACGTTATGTACGGGGGTTACGGAAGTCCCAAAAAAATAATAAAAAAAATCTTTATGATGTAGATTACGAAAACAACGTAATTTTATAAAAATAAAATTGGTAACAATCTCATTTGCCAAAATCAGTCTTACCCTGGAAGGTACTAGGCCCGCCCACCCACCCTCTCTTTTCTTAGAGAGTGCCATTTGCCAAAATCAGTCTTATCCTAGCTAGTAGCTGCAAAAATTAGTCTTATTCTAGCTAGTAGCTGCCAAGATAAAACTGATTTTGGCAAATGAAATACCCTCTAAGAAAAGAAAGGGTGGGTGGTGCCAAAATAAAGCATACCTAGAGGGTATGCCATTTGCCAAAATCGATTTAATTTAGCAGATACTAACCCCGCCCTCTATTTTCTTAGAGGGATCTCATTTGTCAAAATCAGTCTTACCTTGGAAGGTACTAGGCCCGCCCACCCACCATCTCTTTTCTTCGAAGGTATGTCATTTACTAAAATCAGTCTTATCCTAGCTAGTAGCTGCTAAGATAAAACTGATTTTGGCAAATGAAATACCCGTTAAGAAAAGAGAGGGTGGGTGGCGAGGGGCTTCTAAGAAAATAGAGGGCGGTTGGGCGGGGTTAGTATTGTACATTCTAACTGAAATGATAATTAAGCGGGGTCATGGGCGAGGGAAATAAAATTAAAAGTTTTATTACTAGTTATTGTGACAATGAGTGTATTGTTTAGTTGTTAAACGTAGCAAAAGACCCAATTTTAAAATAAATTTAACTCCACCAAAATGTGAGAAGGATTTTTTTTTACTATTTTTCCCACACTCACCAATTGATTGTTAAGAGCGTAGTGGAAAGTTAATCGACCATTTCCAGACACCTGGTACAGTGCCTAGTTTACTCCTACTAAATATAAATTTAAACGTTAATTATTTTACTAGAGATCAATTTTTTTATTTAAGAATCTGAACTATAAAATAGTAATTATAATATTTTGAACTTTCCGGAAACTTATAAACAAATACGCGAAACAGGCGAAACAACAATTGAAAATTGTACATTTGTTTGTTTAATCATTCCCACTAAGAATTTGATGACGTCACCTCAAAATTTTGCATGGTAAAAACTATGTAAATTTTATAAAATAACATGCACCTGCCTTGTGATTTATGAATCCGCCTTGAGTTTTTACCTTTTTATCACAGATGGTCAGGTGCCTTATAATAACATTAAGGTTGAAGGTTCGATCGCTTCACGGGCCACTCTTTCTTCTTACACTGTGAGTGGTATTACCTTTGAATTTGTGTGATTGTACTTCAAGAATGAGGGAAGTTCTGTCCTAATATCATGAGACCACTTTTTTAACAAAATTGGGTTAATAAGTAACTTAAAATACAACTGTATCGTGAGTTTACTAACAGTAATCTAAAGTTAATTTCATTTATAAAATTTGCACATTGGTTTGCAAAAATTATAAAAACACTTCCCTATTAAGATCCAATGCCCATAAAATATGCCCATAAAATTTGCTGGCCATCCTAAGCAAAGTTAAACCGGGCCGGCTTTGAAACCATTAAAAACAAATTTAACTACTAAAAATGTACAAATTTTGCTCATGTTACGGCTCCTGTTGAATTTCAGAAACCTTCTTCCTCCTTTTTATGAAATCAAATTATTTTCCAAATTTCATGATTCTACAGGGTGTCCTAGTTAAAACTTCGGGGCCTTATATCTTGAGAACGAATAGATATATTGAAACTCTCTAAACGCCATTGTTTCTAGCTTAATTTAATAAATTGCAAAGATTGAAGACATATGGTGTCGAAGTCGCTACCTATATATTTTTTTAATTGCAACATTTATTTTTTAACGGATTTTGATACCACATTTAGATATCTCTTTCATTTTTATTTGGTAAAAAAAATACTTCATGAGCTTAAAAAAATTAAAGTTGAGTGAAATAAAGCATTCACACTTAGCATATGTTCGTAAAAAGATTGTAGTCCTTTATTTTACTTAACTTTCATTTTTAATGTTTATAAATTTCAATTTTTTAATCGCAATCTAACGGTCTATCAAAATCTGTTAAAAAATATACGTTGAAATTTCAAAAAATAAAAGTTTGGGTCGCGACACCGACACCATATTCACGCTAGAACCAAACAGATATAAGGCCGCGGAGTTTTGACTGGAACACCCTGTATGATAGGAATGCAAGTATTTTTTGCGCCACATGGTACATTTAATAATATTCTTTATTAAATAATGTGTTCCTATTTCATTAATTTGTCCTTACAAATAGAAAAAAATAGGGGAAAGGTGAAAGGAAGATAAAGTAAAACACCAATAATTCCGAACACAATTGTAATTCTCTAATTAAAATAGTTTTCTAATAAAATTCAAACTCACGTGTTTAGAAAGAATGCCATTTATAACGCTCGTTGTTAACACCCTTTTTTCAAAGTGAGTTTGAACCTACAGTCAGGATCGGATTTAAAAGCACGCGAAACACTCAGCTGCAGAAATAGATTGCGACCTTGATTCGGGTCCAAGGGAGTAATTCAGCCCTGGAATCTCAATGGAAATTCGGCTTTCATTTGACCTATTGTCGAAGTGTCTGGGTTCGAAATTCTGTGGGACTGCATAAAAGACCAATTTGTGGGTCAACATGAAAACATTTTTTTCAATGTGTTTTTGTAATTTTTCGAAAAAGCCGGGTATGCACTGTAGTTCAGGTTCGAAAGAAATTTTGTTCAAACAACCTTAGACCAATATTTTTTCATATTTATGTAACTTGCTCGGATCAACGTTAATCGTAATCTCATTCTTTCCAGACGTGTTAACAAAACATTGAAAACCAAAGTGAGAAAGGAAGGAAACGAGGTTCGACCGGATGTCCCCAAAACGGAATACGGGAAAATGATCTCCAAGGAGACCTTGAAAATGAACAAAATGTTTTGGTCTAAGCATTGACGCGACAATTTTTTGGTAAACGGACTGTTGCATTTTGCAAAACGCGGCAAAATGGCACACACTATTTTAATTTAAGTACACATAAATTTTGCATCATCATTATTATTATGACTTAAAATTGCATATTTCTTAAGATGTTTATTTCAACCTTGATGAAAAGGAACTCGCACTTTGCCTTTAGCGTAATTCCCCAAAAATAGTAAATCCGGTCCTTGCTATAGTTAACAATTAAAATCGTTTTGTAGCCAAATTTTTTAAACTTCTGTTTTACCGACGTATTAATGTCCATTAACGGGAAACGCTTATTTTTATTGCTAACGTTTGTGCGCAATGAAATCAAGAACGTTAGGAAAAGAAAAGCAAACAGAGTCTCGACATTCCATAAAATTCCAAAAAATAAAACAATATTATCAAGAATTGCCGAAGATGTATTATGGGAAGGAGTATTTCACTCCCTCTCTGTTCTCTTTATTTACAAAAAGTGGGCCTGAAATTCGGACCACACTTTTATATTACGTAATAAAAAATGTGATAGGACTGGATAAACCAGAAGTCAAAAACCAGTCTTCGAACATCTTTGTTGCTTTGTAAACAAAAATTCTATTAAAATGTGCAATGTCCGAAAAATAACCGAGGGAGCCTTTACTTTTTTGCATTCCTGTCAGAAATAAAGCTTGCAAACGTTCAACGGATTTTGGAAATTAGATCAACCAAAATAATTTTAACTTGAGAAAAAACGCAAATCCGAATGCATTGATAAATTTAACATGGTTGGTTGAGCGAACCAAATCCTGGTTAACGTGACCACATAACGTAGGACCTCTTTTTTTTAATAATAACCAATCGAGATTAATTTAACTGATACGAATATTTACAACTTTTGACAAAGCAATTAAAAGTTATCTTTTGGAAATAGCAGCAAACCTGCCTCATTTTAAACACTCGTTTAAGTTATCGGAGTATTTTTAGTTAGGTTTTTATAAAATTGCATTCTTTGCGGATTTACAGAAACCGGTGTGAGGGCCATTTTAAAAATTACTAGCATAAAATATCCGAAGCCTGACGTCACTGGGCCCAACCATTTACTTTTATACTTTTTTGGTTCAAGTTGCAAGAGAATGTGGTAAGATTGGTTCGGATTTATACTTGCAGCTTCTCCACTCTGCGTTATTTAAGCCTGAGTCCAATCGCTTTATGCTACCTGTAGAACTTTGAATGGCGTTTTCTCGCTTATTAAAACCGATAAAAAAAACCTATAAAATTATTAACATTTAACTTTTTGTTCTCTAAAGCGTAACCAAAACCGCGCGCCTCACAGAGCGTATTTTTCCATAAAGACTTATTTAATAAATCTTTGAGATGACATCACCAACTCCAAGGTGGACATACATCTAAATACATCACCGTGACTACCGGAGTTGTAATTATTTTGGTGCAAAAATTACCTTAACTGAAAACCAAGTGAAAAATCTAGGAATTACACGTTTAGTTTTTATGTGATCGAAAAAATGGATAAAATTTTCTGAAAAAGATCCTCAGAAAAAAAAATTCTCTAACCTCTAATGCTAGCGATGTGCTCATCAAACTGCGACTTGGTCCTAACAAAATCCAACTTGCTCGTACCACTGTGCAAACTCTGAGTCCTATACTCGCTGTACCATTCCGAACTAGAACTAGTCACTTTACTACTATTGCTGGCATTGTCCCATTCGTCCCGATTCAATCCCTCCCTGGAAGGCGTCCTCCTTAGGCTCTCCTCCGAAGGAAAACGTCCCCCAAGGCTCGATATACTCGAAGTTTTCGAACTGGTTGCCAGATTGCCATTCGATTGTGTTACGTACGCTGAATCTTCCAGCAATTGTTCCTCCGAGGGTGTGCGGCTGCTGATTTTGCGTACGGTGGTGCTGGTGGTGGTGCTGGAAGTCGAGGAAATCTGACGAACCGATTTTCGGACGGTTACTTTCTCGAATTTTACGGTTTTTACGCCAGAGGCGAGATCGCCTTCTTCGGTTGTTGTCGTAATCGTTTCCTGCAAGGGCGGCGCGGTTAGAAGGGAAGCGCGTGGGGGTAGCGGTCAAGGGTGCGATGGGCGGAGAGTCGATTGAAATAACTAAGGGTTTCCACTGGCCTTTCATAGTGTTTGTGTTAATATTAAATACATATCAAACACCGGTTAAGTATCTACGCAACACGAAAAAAAAAAACAGACGGAAATTCGGAAAAATATTATAATTAGTAATACATTATTTTAAAGGTGATATGCCGTGAAAAATATAAAATTTCAAAGTGAATTTGGGTAATAGGAATTGTAAATTACCTACTTTTAGAAAGCAAAAATTATTATTTGTTCAACAAGGATAACCAAAACCAAAAAAGTTTGACATCTACAGAAATATCTTACTCCAACTGAAGTTTCTTTACAGAGGTAATTACTCGAGAATCGTTCATCTTGTTTTCACCAACACTCTTTTGGAAATTTAGTTTTTTATAACCGAAAAATTTAGCCACCACTTTCTAAAAATCTTAATGATAAGGTCGAGACTTGTAAATTCCATCACAATAAATAATTAACTACACAGTTTAGTACTATCTGATGCAGGAACTGTGCACAGAAACACATAACGTGTAGCCGTATTCTGCTAATTAAAATATTTTAAACACAATCGTGCCGTTAATTATTTATTCGAAATTCCAGCCACGAAATGCGCTTTGCGGATGATAAATTGATAAAACACCATGGTGGTATTTCGTGAAGGATCATAAAACGGGATCATGTTATTTTGTAGCGATAAATCTGCACCCTGGTGTTTCATCAGACTACAAGTTCATTGGTCGATGTAAACGTTGGGTTTTATTCAATAAATTACGTCTTTCGTGAAACATTCGTTCTTTTTTTAGTTTTAACCGATGGCAGTTTTGTTTTATTTTGACCTATGCACTTTACAGACACTGCAATTAGACGAGTAAAACTGCTACTTAAATTTTTTCAGTAATAAAACCCCAAAGTCTTATATTAATTTAGCCTTTTTTGTCTACAACAACACTTAAGGTATTTTGAATTATTAGTCTGTAACAGGGAAATATTTTGAACGGCGTAAGTAAAAAAAACAAAAACTGCAGAAATATTTTGACACATCAAATCGATTTCCACAGAGAAAATATTGTAAGAATAAATATGCAAATTTTTAGTCGTTTTTATTTTTAATAAACGTAAAAAGAAATAAAATCATTCCAGACTTATTAAGTAAGTAAAACATCTCCAAGACCAAAAACTAACAAACCAATTTTTTTTTATTTTTAACTTGATTTTGTAAGATCTGTAAATCGAACTTACGATTTTTATTATTATTATAAAAAATATTTAACAAATTAGAACTTTGTATGAATAGAGGAACTATAAGCAAAAAAATACGTAAAGTTGGGAATCAGTTATACAGGGTGATGAAAAAATAACATGCACGATGATACGTTATTAAGAAACTCAAAAAAAATGGTTTAAAAAACTCTGAAAGAAACTTTTGTAATTATTAAACTTCAAAATTGAAGAACCAACTTTGTAATTCTCATATGTTCTAATGGGAATTTAATTGAAAATCTGAAATTCCGATAAAAATTGTCAAGTAAACAGTAAAATATGACGCTGTGGATCGTATTTTAGCAAATTATTAAAACAAATCAGAATTACACAGTTAATTCTTCAATTTTGACGTTTAATATTTTCAAAAATTTGGTAATCATTTTTTTCGAGTTCTTCAAAGCCTTCTTAATAAAGTAAATAAAGAAAATAAAATATAATTTAATTGAAAGAAGAATTTGTGTTCGCTGAGTAATATCCGAATCGTTTTTAAATAGTTGCCTAAAAATTAGCAAAAAATGATTCAAATTACTGTTGGCAAAAATTTCAACTCTGAATCTTTCCTCAAACATAAGTTAACATGGGACATAAAATTTAACATGGGAATCCCTATGGTCACTTTCAAAAAAGGTGCACTATATATAACTTATGGACAAAAAATTTTTTTTTTTTTTGTTATAATATACCTAACTCTGAAATTACATCTAACATGTCAAGTGTATACGTACGAGGTAAGCGCCAAATATTCTCGGCCTAACAAAGAAAGAGACCTGATGGAAAAAAATTAAATATTTATATTTCAACATAATCTCTGTTAACTTGAATACATTCAAAACTACGTTCAACTAACAGCTCTATGCGTTTAAAAAAATTATTTGAATCTTTATCACTAAAATGATGTAGTACTGCCGTTTGCACCTCTTTATCCGTCCAAAACGTTTTCCCTGCAAGTCGTTTTTTATCTTAGAGAACAGTTAATAATCGTTCGAAGCTAAGTCAGTACTGTAGGGTGGATGATCAAGTTACTCGAAGTCACAGGCCCCTATAGCAGCTTGAGAAAGACATGCGGTGTGAACGAGCGCATTTTCATGAAGCAATCGAACGCCTCTTGTTAATTTTCTCGGCCTTTTTTCCCAAATACGGTCTCCTAATTTATGCAGTAAGTAAGCATAATATGTAGCGTTGACAGTGGTATTTCATCCTTTAAAATTAATCAACAACATGCCTTTACAGTCCCAAAAAATTGTGGCCATGATTTTTTTGGAAGATTGGTTCGTCTTCAAGGGTTTCTTACCCCATGCGAAATAACTGTGATCATTTTTTTTAGTAAAATGTGAAGGACAAGCTTCAGCAAACACAAAAACCATCCTGTCCTTAATACCCTTTAGAGCAATTCCATCTTTTGATAAGAATTTTATTGCCGTTCGATTTTCAATTTTAAACAGGCATGATGAGTCCATAATTTTTCAAATGTTACTCCTCAAATGTATCAAAACTAATGGGCAGTGGGGCTTGAAATTTTACACACATACTGCGGGGACCTTCTAGTCTTTTATGAGTTGTACAAATTTCCCGACGAGCAATCGCAAATATATCAGGCCGAGAATATTTGGCGTTTACCTCGTATCTACTCAGTTTTTGATCTTCCTTTACGACTATAAATTCAAAATTTTGACAATTGGAGCCAAAATCTACAAATTTAATTAGTTTCTAAAATGTAGTCCGTGTAAAAACGGTGCCCTATTTTAAGTTTTTTTTCCAAACTGCGTTCCTGGTTATTTTCATATTTATTATATACCGCGAACAGTGAACACAGTGTATATAAATTCTACGACTAAAAATAGCACACTGTAACCTTTTAATTTAAAGTATGTATTAAATTAAATCGTAGGATAAAAAATGCATGGAGGTGAAGGCCGCATGCAAATACACCACTTTGGAAAACGTCTAAATTAAAAAGATGAATTTGAATATTATGTCCAGGCCATTCTGCAGGTTATGAATTTTTTGAACTGGTACAAAATCTGTACTTTGTAGAAAACAAATAGGGGCAGCAGGTGACGTGTATTATAATAGAAACACGTATTTTATGGTATTTAATGACATTTTTTTTAGAAAAGTACTGTGCCGGTCCTTTGAAAATCCAGTGTTCAAAATCACCAATATGATCATCAACGCGTCACTGCACACAAATTTTTATTACAAAATATTTCCCATTAACGTCATTAGTTATTGCAACGGCAACATCACAAAAATAATAACAATAAAATAATTTTTATTTTTACATGGAAATAAATATATAAAGTACAATAAATTTTTAACCAAAATATATATCTTTATGAGTAAGTATTTATTACATCATAATACAATAGACAATAATTAATTCGGTTTTTATGAAGAATTAAGGCATGGATGCCGAAGACGTTTAAACACTTTAATTTGAGTGATATTTCTATTATCATCAAAATTATCGTTCCTTGAGTCGTAATTCATGATTTATCACATTTTATTAATGAATGAAATAAAATTAAATAACTATTGTTCAATTGTTTATACAAGCACTTTTTGTTAATATTTAGGACGTGAGTGATCCCACTAATTACATAAACACAAACAAATACGTTAACAATAAGATTTTGTAGTTGTAAAAACAATATTGCTTGTATTCACATTTTTCAAAAAAAAAAACACCTATTTAGTTCGGTTATAAATCATCTGTGCCATACTTTAGGTGCGCAGTGTACAAAAATACGTCAAAACAATAAACTCATGGTGGAAGGTAAAACATTAGATATTGCTTATACAATTTCGTTTTAGTTTTCAAACTTTAGTAAATTAGTACATTGGTGGAAAATTTATAAACTAAAACATGTACAAAAAAATTCAATGATTTTTGTTCCAATAAAAAATATTGTATTTAAAAATACAGAATTTTGAGAGGAAATTACGAAAACATATTTTCGGAAAAATACAATGTACTGAAAATGTACCTAATTTTTGATGCGTCGTTTACAAGATGTACATATTTTTCATTTCTGAAAATTTATAATTATGAGATAAAGTTAAAATAAAAATGTATTCGCTGACATGTAACATAAAACCATAAACAAGAACTCTGCATCAATTTATTTTATGTACAATCTGAGTCAGATAATATTTTTAACAACTTTATTATATTTGCAGATTTTGATAAATTGAGTCACTTTAGAAAAGAACAACAGGTGAAAACAAGACGAATGCGAAAATCTTCCATTATAACTTAGAAAATGAGACAAATAGTTACCTCTTCTCGATAGTTCGAAGGCTAGTCATCAAAATACTTCCCTGCCTCATAAAAGTTGCAAACCTCCACCGAATGTTAAATAACAATAAATTCCAATCAATTTCTCCGTAAAAAAGAAGTCACGAAGTCACCCTTATCGATTCGGAAACCCCAACGGCATTTTATCGACTTCCTCCATATTTCATGCATTTCTCCGGCCATCGCCTTCGACCCCATCTCGCCCCATCGGATTTCGCAACCCATTTGCGCCACGTGGGTGTAACCCCAAATTGATTCCACCTCCGTGACGTAACGCGGGCAGAATTAGAAAAAAATCGCGAAAAAAATCAATCGCTAGACGCAAACGGGCTGCCGCCCCCAGAGCCTTGCCTGGATGCTGCCATCCGGCTGCACTTCTGTGTGCAGAACTCGCGTGGGTGTGTGCCGCAGCGTGACCTGCTCCAGCCGGTTCCGCTCCAGGTTCCGGGACCGCTCCTCGGCGAGTCGGCGTTCGAACTCCTCGACGTCGGCGGCGCTCACCGCCTCCACCACCCCCGAGCGACCGCCGCCGGTCCACACCTTCTCGAAGAAGCTGACTCGGTCGCGCAGGCGGGGCTGCGAAGGGCTAGTGGGGCTGGAAGGGCCCTCCGGAGGGCGCTTCGGCCCCTCGGCGGGGTCTTTTCTGGGTGATGACGCACTCATGGTGGCGGTTTGCACCACGCATCTGTCATCGGTGGTTGGGAATTTTGATCTGGATGGTGCAGAGTTTGCGTTGTTGCGAGGCGCGACACCGTTCGATACTGAAGTGAACATGAGTAGAAGGACGGACCGCGGGTACGTGGAGGGAGCAGACTCCGTCGGATGGTTTCGAGGCGGCGGCGACGAGGTCGTGGGAGGAGGTCGTTGGTGATTTTTTTCTTTACTTGGGAGGGTCTGGGGTCGATGTGGCCGTTTTGCCAACGGTTTTCTAAGCTTGGCGCTAAAGGTGCCAAAACTCCTACAAATTTGAGGTGCCTTTTTCGACGATTTGTCAGGTCGCTTGTTCCTTTCCAGACTGAAGAGTTTTCGAACTAGATTTCTTGGTTTTTGGAACAAAGGTACCAAAATCGACCAAAATTTTGATGTATCCATTTTAAAACTAGTTAAATAATACCGATTTATCAGATTTGGAGATTTCTTATCAGAATGTCAATTCTGTTTCGTTTACATAAAAGTTATTTTTACAAAAGGAGACATAATTTTGAAATACATTTTACATAATAAATATAAATTTTGGAGTGTTTTGCAATTTGTCAAGGGTTTTCCTGGCTTGGCATCAAAGGTGCCAAAAGGCCTCCAAATTAGAGGTACCGGAAAAATAATACCCATTTATGTATCAGATATTTGAAATTTTTTTATCAGAATCTCATTTCACATTTGTGAGTAATGGAGGTGTTAATAACACGCTACTTAACAATGGCATCTATATCATTTCGAAAAGCTAATGCGAATTTTTATTTCAACAACATAATTTTAAGACATTAGCAAACAGTAATTTTTGACAAAATATATTTTCCATAATGTCGTTCATATATAATAGAAACAGCAAAGGTCCGAGATTTGACCCCTGCCATAAGCCAGATGATGAAATGTAAGGGGTAGAAATAAAAGTATGATATTTGACAGTTTGCTGTCCATCAAGTAAGTATGACATAAGAAAAATAGTGACACCTGGTGAAAATCCATACCATTTAGATGTATCTAATAAAATATAATGCTGTAGTTAGTCAAACCCCTTTTGAAAATCTGCAACAATCACATTGAACCTTGTTGCCAATAGTTTCTAACAGATATTAACTAAAGCAAATCTGTTGATTAGTAGATCTCTCCTAAATAAATCTATGTTGACATGGTGAAATTGTACTTCTAATTTCATGATAGATACAAAGAAAGATGTAGTTTTTTTCCAGACATTATTTTACAATTTTTAAAAATTAAATTAAAGATGTAAAGCGGAGATACTGGCAATCCATTACAATAAAACTCGGAATTTCATCGACCGCGGTGAAAGAATTTCTTTGGATTTCTTAAAGGCGGTACAATCTCTTTTTTAGAAATGTGTGCCACTGATAATAAGCCTGAATAATTTACTTGAGATTCCAAGTTCATATTAGGGTCAGAGCAAACATAAACACTTTTAAAAAATTCACTAGATGCATTAACAACAAGTTCCAGAGAACAGTACGAAGTGTTATCTTTTTGTTTTGAATAGATGGCCAAATTTTTTTAGAATGCAAATTAAAGATTTTGACTCTGAACGATAATAATATTTGAATAAATTATGATGATATATAGAGTATAGAGTATATAATATTTGCATCAAACTTAAAAGGATAGATATGTATATCTTTTTACGTATATCTTATTAAAAAAAAAAATAAAAATACTACTTAATCAACAAAGCACGCACACTCTTCGAAAAGCTATACCTGCTTATTAAATCTCTATTAAGTTTTGACAATATTTCAAAATGTTGCTAATCCTTCTGAGATGACAAAAATTTCTTACACCTATATTTGTAGTTCTACAGATGTCTTGATATAGAAACTACTTAAAAACAAAATGCCAATTTTCTAGCTGACAGATACGTATAATATAGTTATTTTCTGATATTTACACAATATCTAGGTGTAAATATGGCTGTCTGTATGATAAATAATTAAATATAACCATTTTTTTATTCAAAATATCTTTCATCCTTTTTGGAGAATAAATAAATATCACAAATTTCTGATAATTTTGACAAGTCTCTTCAAAATCATTACAAAAATTTTGAGCAATTTGACACTAAGAATTCGCACTTTCCTGATCACTAAATGTTTACGAGAAAGCAATAAAAAACACAATCAGAGATTTTGAAATAATTATATTTGACAAAATTTTATCTTGTCAGATTGCAGTCGAACTGAAAGTGTGAAATGAAAACGTAACCAACGATCAAAGAAAAACTTTCAGAAATCATGACCGTCTTTGATCGTGTTTTTTATTGCTCTCGCGGTAACTCCTATTAATGTTGTTATAATAAAAATAGATTGCAGTCTACTTATGACGTAATATCAATATTTCATAAATAGTAACACTAACAAAATGTTTATCTTTATATCAAAATATATTCCAGTACTTTATACTTTTTTATCAAGAAATTGATCTTTACGAATATTTATTGTACTATATGCAGTAATTGATTACGTTTATATATTTTTAATAATTGCAAAAAAATGGAAAATTAAGATACGTGTTCCAAAGAGGTTTAGACACTTAACTGCGTTTTATAAAAATTATTGTTCCTTGGATGCTAATTTACAATTTATAATGTGTGAATAACAGTTATAAATAGTGATCTTGTTTACAACATTAGAACATTCAATAACTGTCACGTTTTAAATAAAATGTGACTGCTAATATTTAAACAATGAGTAATCTCCCTGATTACAATTACACAAACTCAAACGAAGACCGGTAAAAAAAATTTAACATTATGATTTTGTAGTTGTAAAAATCATATGAGTCGTATTTGTTTCGATTACAGTACATCTGTTCTGTGCTTTAGATGCACAGTGTACATAAATGTATCAAAGCACTGAATTGATGCTAGAACGTAAAATTATTTTAAAATTATGAAACATAAATAAATTGATGATTGATTAAAAAACTGTTTTGCAACAAAATAATTTTGGGAGAAAATGAATTAAGAAATGATCTTTTCACATAAAAAATTGTATTGAAAATATACTTGATTTTTTTATTTGCCCTTTACAACATGTACATCTAACTCACTTCTGAAAACTTTTAACGATGAGATAAACTAAAAGTTTGTTTGCTTGCTTGCTTTTGTACATGAACCCATAAACAACAACTCTGATGCATCAATTTACTTTAGGTACAATGTGAGTCAGATACTTAAAGTAAATTTTGGAATATTCTGCAAGCTTTCAAGCAAAATGCTAAGAGAAGCAAAATATTTTTAAGCTGTATTTTTACTTACATCCTTGTAAGCAACCGTGCTTAATTAATAAAGCATATTCTTCTCAAAATATAAAGTTTTCCTTTGAAGGACGTTCTATACCACATCTGTTTGTTAAATCTGATATTAGTTCTCACAAATTTTGACAACACTTCGTAACAAAATAGTTTCTTGTTATTTCTTCTAGTTCTGCAGAATTGCGATTTTTTAGATGTACGAAATTTAAAATTAAAACAAAAAGGAAAGTGTTCTAATTCTTATTCCGCCTGAGTAAATGCAAATATGCACCACGTACTTGCACTTTCAAGTACCACGAGAAGTAAACAAGTAAGTTGATTGTGAACTTTATCTAACAATTATATGGTCACTGTTAAATATTGCTCTATGTAAAATTTTCGACGAAATATTCTTGAACAGCATTCCGTATGCAATATGCTTAACTAATTCACAGATTCTTTTTCAACAATTATTTCCCATGTTGCTTTAGCATACTGATGCCAAAATAAAATTAGTACGTATTTGAAACTTTTTTTATTTCCATAAATCTACTTTACGCGAACTTTTCCTCCAAAATCGTGTTTGTCAATCTGTGTTCTTTTATAATCACTGACTGTCTCTCTTACATCACACGACAGAAAAAGATGACAAAACCCTATTACTCCAGGAGCTAATTTACCTACTCTTTCTCTTGTTCTTTACATTTTTCCATATTTTCTTGTTAATAATATAAACCACATCCCCGAAAATTACGATTCGGCCAGGCAAATGCCACCTTCTCAGTCAGTTAAATTTGCTACTACTTATAAACTTGCAACAAACTTTGTAAGTAGAAAACTTGTGCGTGTGCAACAAGCGTTAACACTTTTAGATCAGACTGAAATACCTACATGGACGTGAAAGGAAATAATGTAAATACTGAGCTCAACAATTTTCCAACATATTGTTTCTATAAAAGTCACACTTGAACTCCGGCTTTCATAAAAATTCAGTAAACTGTATAAATCGGAATTCACGTTTGAATCAACTAAGACAAACAAATAAAAACACAATCAAACAGAGTTGTTTACTCATGCAAGTGTTGTGAAGAAAAGGGTTCAGTGCATCTATATCTTATCGGGTTCTCTGTACAAATTTCTTTCATAGTTATTATTTTCAGTGACGGCATCGACTTGTTGCTGGGGATAAATGTCGGATCATCATTTGAATCTGCCAAGTAATACTTGAAAATGGTTTTAATTGATTCCTTACAACGGTTGATTTCTTACGTAAGTGTAAACTGAAAAAATTGATATGGAAATGATTCTTAAACTGGCTAGACATTTCATTATTGCTCACATAATGAGGTCGGGTCTCTTTAGAAAATGCCCGTAGTCAGTGATACCAATCTAAAGAATGCTTTCATGACTTGCTGCAATTCATTTTTTTTTTTTTGGATTACACAGTAAGATGTAATAAACTTTTCGAAGCTTTTTTTTGTCGGAATAAATTTGCATGGAACTAGCCTATTTTTCTAGTTTTTTTTTTAATTATTATTTCTTTTACCCGAAAGTGACAAATATATTGCACATTTTTCGTTCAACATTTCCGTAATAAAAAGATTTTGGATATTGTAAATGTTGTGTTAATGGACTGAGAAACAATCATAAAAATTTATGAATAAACATATTTGCCTTTAAAAACGGAAAGTTGTCTTCACTTCAGGTAAAACTGAAAGTGTTACAGTCGCTTTTATGATGTCTTTAAATAGATTTTATTTAGTAGATTCTTCAGAGTGTACTAATTTGTT